CAACCTTTGGATCCAAATCTATTAGTCATCGTTATATTAGTTTCCCTTTTACAAGGAGTTTTGCTCTTCTCTTTGTGGCTTGCTTTCAAACATAAGGTATCACACTTAAAAATGCAAAGCTGGGGGTGTGGTAAAATGTTCTAATATCCATACTTGAAAATGATAGCAAGACTGCAGGTTGCTTTTTAACACTTTTGGTTCAATCCTTCCTCATCTACAGAAGTAGTGCTATTTTATACAGCACAGAGAACAGAAAAACACCATGCAATGATATTATAAAGACACGAGCAAGTTTGATCAGTTGTCCTACGGCTGTGTGACGTACTGAATGCCACTCCCATTCATGAATAGGCCAGTGATACAGACTGGAAAAGAAAGACTCAAGAAAAAAAAAAAACCTGCTATTAACTTAGCTTATTAATATAGAAGTATTTTCAAGTCATTTTGTGTGCATGAATAAGTGCAAGCACTCAAATCCATGCTACATAGTAACACAGATGATACAAAAATGTGTTTTAATCAGGAATGGATGACAGAAATATAACAAGCTAAGCAAAAAAATGTATAATTCAGTAACAAAATTAAATATTGGAATGAACCGACAGGTAGGAAAAAAGTAATTAATAAATGACTCATATCATGAGGACAATTAAGCATTGGAATAGGTTGCCCCAAGATACGCAAAATCTCTGTCCTTGGAGGTTTTTAAGATGCAGCCAGTCAAAGCATCAAGGAAACTGTTCTGAGTTCAGTGTTGATCCTTTTTTGACCAAGAGGCTGGACAAGAGACTTCCCAAGACCCCTTCCAACCTGTAAAATTTTGTGATTCTATAAATCCACGTACCTGACAGGGTTCCAAACTAACAATATCAGCACCAGACAGGGATGCGTTGATGCATTCAAAAAGTAAGCCAGATGCTCGAACAGAAAAGGAATGGACTGATGAATAAGACAAGAGACTACCTTAATGCCTTTGTATAACTCTAAGTCTACCAGCCTCCTCACTTCAAAACGAATTGTGCAGAAGTTGCTACAAGCGAGGAGTTACTATGAGTTATGATCATCATCTGCAAAAACTCCCATACTCTCATTAAAAAAAAAAAAGAAAAAGAAAACAAGAAAAATATTAGTATTACTTCCTTCAGCAAGCAATTTAGGAAAAATAGATTAGGAACTTCTGGTGTCCCTTTCTCAAAGTTTAAAGCACAAATTTAGTCAAATTAATAAATGGATAGTCAAGATCCAAAAAAGAACTGGTTCCCTGCTACCTGAAGATTTCATGAATGTTATATGAAGATCAAAAATTAGCAAGATTCAGCAACTATGTAGGTATATACATTATAGAAATACTCAGAATTGTCATAATTAGTAAAAATATTTTGGAAAAATAAGATACTAAACCAAGCCCTAATGATCAGAGTCTAGAATGATACTTTAAACGTTTAGAAAATTAACTTTCTTCAATCTTCTATATAGTTCTTACCTCATCTTTGGAAGCATTTGATGCTAGCTACTGAAAATACTTCTGCATAAGATGGATATAAGGTATTATCAAGCTGAGCAAGCTACAATATACACATAGCATTACATTGCCAAATTTTTCTCCTTTTAAATTTCTCATTCAAAGACCCTGCATTTAGTACATACACAACATTTTAAATGTGAAAGCTAGCATACAAGTAACTTCAGATCTAAGATTGAATAATTAACGGCAGGAACCTCAGAAAAGGCACAAATATGTTTCTCCTGAAAGCCGCCAGAACCACCTGAAACTATTTTGATATTACACATCTGTTGGAATGGAAAACTAAAATGTTTTGTGAAAAAGTGATCACTTTAAAGAACAATAATGGGAAAGTTTGGAACATATCATTAACAGTGTCACAAGCCCTTCATTTGGAGTTCAACTTTATGTTAGATTTAATATATTTAATATTCATAATCCGAGTAGATTCTGTGGTAGTGCTAGCTGGAGAATGATGATTTTAATTTATGATAGCTTTTAAGGCTTGGATTTTTTTTTCACCATGCATTAGGATGCAGAGGAAAAAGAGGAAAAAAGTAAACCAACCTCCTGAATATTTCACAGAACGCAGCTGTATGAAGATCATAAGTCCTTCTCTCCCCTTCTCCATTTTGCCTTTCTGTTTCCCCTGTCCTCTTTCTCTCTAGCTATTCTGTCCCACAGACACCTTCCTTTGAAAATGTTTCCAAAGGTGATAAAATTTTTAAAAGTTTTTTGCTCTGAATAAATGTGTTATTTCGTTGAAATTATTCAAGCCAATTAAAGTATATAGCAAATTTAACAGGCTAGCCTAAAAACACTTTTAATATTATGATAAAAGACTAGAAGTCAATTTTAAATGTGTCCTGGAAATGAGCACGTAATAAATTCAATCTAGTGTGAAGGACTATGATTGGATAAGCTTAAATACGAACTTTGGAAATGCCAATATATCAGAAAAGGAAACTGCAGCCCAGAAGACTGCTCCGCCATCTATATTTCAGAGCATTTCATTCCTTTGTAGCATCCACAACACCTGACTGCTATGTCTTTGTTTAGCTGGTCTGGGAAGGCAGTGAGATGGCACAGATTTCCAGTGACTTTGGCTATAAGTGGCAAGTGTAAGAATATTAAAATTCTTAAATACATCTAAAAAGTGAACTTATGTCCAGGGAAAAAAGGTATCACTGGAAACCAATTGCAATGTCACACATGCATCTAGTAAAAAGCTTTCCTTGCTAATTACAGGAACAAAACTGAAAAAAGAAATTATCAATATTGGCTACGAAAACTCCTCACTGCACGTTTCTTGAGAAGCAATGGAACCTCTGCATAAGCAGACTGCTGAATACCACAGTGTCTCCTGAGAAACACAGGAACGTACCAGTCTGCTTCCTCGTGATTTTGGAAACAGAACTGCTGCTCGTGGTAAACCGATCTAAATAGTGTAAACATATGATGCGTCTACTTCTTACAGGACCTTGATCTAATTTTTTTACACGAGACCTATGAAGCTGAATATTGGGTATTAATTCCATTTTTTTTGCACTTCTGTTGCAAGACCCCTAGTTATTTCTGCTTAGTTGAAAAGCTTATCTTCCCATTTCAAATGGGCAAGACATGATTCTTTCTCAGGCTGTTTCACCTAACCTCACCAGAGAGGTGGCTATCAAAATCACACTGACATAAAATCAAATACAATTTATTCCACCTCCCAGTAAGCTGAGGTTTTAGCTTAGCTATCAGGTGTGGGGGAAGGAAAATAAAGGTCAGACAGGTCAGTTTCACCTGAATTACTTCCAAACTGCAAGATCTATTTCTGGGGAAATGGCAGAAGCTGAAGGAATGTTGTGTGATATGTATATGAAGAACAATAAAAATCTGAATGTAAACCACAGAAATGTAAAAGATATCCTTTCCAAAATCACTAGAGCCTCTTCCTGTCAGCAAATGATTTCTACCAATGCTATTTTTCTTAATTAGAGTGCAGTTTTGCATAACCTTGCATGCATGCATGCATGTGCATTCACAGTACATGTTTTTTCCTCCACCCTTGGGTCAGATTATACTACGGTAGAATAGATCTCCTTCTTCAGACATTCTTTCTGATAGAAAAAAGAAAATTAGTTTTGCTCAGTTTCGTTTCTTCACTGCCAGCTGCAGCTCCTCAGACAACTCTAAACCACTTTTGTACCTCCCTGGAGTGCATGCTTCAAAGACATATGGACATTTATCTTGTCATTCCCTTATATCACCTTTGCTTCTCCATATTTTTCTCTTTAGGATTTTTCCCCTCTTTTCTCTAAACTATTCATGCTTATATGTATCCCTAGACAGTCTTTCTCCGCATTTTTCCTGCAGTGACTTGATAAAAGTAGGGCTGCATAAATCTGTGTGTGCAAATACTTAGATGAAAAATGCAGTACCAGATTGACTGACACAGTTGGCAAATACAGACAGAATTCAGCATAGTTTCAGCCAAAATTTTGATAGGAAGAAGGATATGCGTGGTTGAGAAAGCTGAAAAATTTCACTCTGACGTTTTGTAAATTAAAGAAATCACTCTACATTTCAAACATTTCATTTATAAATGTAAGCTACTAAAACAGAAACAAACAAAAAAAATCCAACCACACTTCCAAATGAAGTAACAAACAATCGAAAATTAAGTGCACAAAATGTTTCAATCCACCAATTTTATTCATTCTATTCTTTGGTTCCAACATGAGAAACAAGTGCGTTTTTTAGAAACTCCTCCTCCAGAACTACGGCTCTTTTCCTCTCTCTGTTTAGTTGATTAATCATATATTCTACTCAGAACTACGTCTGCTACAACTCCAGGGGCAACCTCTCCATCATCCCATGACTCGCTTAGGCTGTGAAGTAGTGTCTCTCAGTTGGGTGTCCAGTATGGAATGGCATTCACTCAAAAAGTTACAAGAGTACTAGATACTTTTCTTTTTTTCCCTAATATATCCATCTTTATCTCTGAGTTTTTTCATTATTTCTGCTTTTGGTGTTCCATTTGCATTTGTTGTAGGTTGCTTATATTTCTAAATTCTCTCTGCTTATGTGTGTAATTTACTTGTGTCACTAAGAGTTTCAACTCCTGTCAGTTTGGGACAAAATTCAAATTTTGGATACCTCATGCACAGAAATCAACACAACCCAGTATTGATTTTAGGGTTCAAGGATTGGCCAGTAGTGTAGTCTGCTAAATTAACCAAACCAAACCAAACCAAAAACAACCAGCCTCATCTAACAGAATCAGGGAAAAAGCAAATCATGAAAACGAAGAGGAACAAAACAATGCAAAATATGACTGATTCTTAATTACCTTGTATTACAATTTATATACCCCCAAGTATAGTTACTTGCAGCAATACAAGATGCATGTGAAATTCTACCGTTCTGATTTAAATAAATATAAATGACAACACAGGTTTGGAGCACAAGAGAGTCATACTACAGCTGATGCACCGAATTTTAACCTCACCTTTCCAGTAGACTTTGTTCCTTTCCAAATGCAAAAATAGCAGATAGTCCAAGCAGCAAGGAGGCACAGTGCAAGTTCCCAGCGAAGATTCCCAATATGTTCAATTCCATCAGATATAGCTAGCACCCTTCGTCTTCCAAGAACAGAAAAAACAGAAAAAAAGAAAAAAAAAAAAAATTAAAGCAGAACAGCACTACATATAAAACACTGAGCTAAAACCAAATCAGCTTCAACCAAGGAGGCTCCTAGTTACTGACTACTAAAACCACACCAGGCTAAGATAGAAGAGACAGAAGCAAAAATAGAATATTCTCAGTGGATTTTACATCTGATTAAAAATGAACAAATGTTTAATTTTTCCAAGTCAGTGACAAAATAAAAAAGATTTAAAAATAGCTTTTGTATAAAGTAAAAGTCAAGGAAAAAAAAAAATTTCTTTTAATTAATAACTGACTTATATAAGCCCAAAATAAAACACTTCAATAATAAATGTTTTTTTCAATTTTACTGGTTTTTTTCAGAAAAAAAATGTCTAACTTTTATTTTTACCTGGTAACATTTATTTTCATAAATTTCCTTTTGTAACTGAAACTATACTTTTAAAACATTTATTTTCAAAACTGTCAAACATCACGACATTTTCTAGATGGATTTTATTTAAGAAACGCTAACATTAAAATGTTAATATTTTAAAAACAAACAAACTTTTTTGTGAAAAGTGTTCAGCAAAAATATGTATTGCATCTACCATTTGAAAATAGTGTATTTTAAATACTAGCCACTCAGTTCTAAAAACGTAAGTCCTCATATATTTTAGGAACACCCCTCACAGCTCACAGTCCGGGACTGAAGTATTTACTAACTTAGCAAACAAGATAAAAAGAGAGAGTGAAGAGTTTTGGGTTTTTTTAAAACAAGAATTTGGGAACAGAAAAATCAAGTGAATTGCTAATATTCATACAGGAAACCTGCAGAACCAGGCTTCAATGCTAGTTTCCAGAAATCTGGGCTAGCATTTTAACCACAAAAACGATTTTTTATAAAGGAATGATGCTCTTATCTGGGAGATGCACTGTCCTTTTATGCCCTTTTATTTTTCCTTTCAATAAACACTCACATTAAACAAAATGCAAATTGTCTACCAGCCCATAAATAAAATGTGGGTACTCCCATTTTGTATGGATGAAGAGGTTAAAAGCAATAGCAAAAATTTATTCCTATAACATTAAATCATTTAATAAATTCTTTTGAGATTTTTCAATTGCCTGGAAGAAACCCTATAGATAATTAGAAGATTCTTTTTTTAGGAATCTCAATTTTCCAGAACGGTAAGAGTACGATTTAACTGGTATATGAGGTCAGGAGTTGATATGGATTTAAATTCCATACGTTCAGAGATTTGGAAACATCTCATCATTTTTAAACAACTTAAAGCAAGCAATTAGTCATTTATTAATTATAAACACAGAATAATTAATTTCAGTCATTCATGCCTTTCATCGGCTTTATCAAATCTCTATAGGGACTGGTCACAGCTCATTCCATGTGTGTTTCCATAAATATATTTGCACACCTGTATGCAATCATATACACATTCACATAAGGATTTCCAACATTCAACCTTACATAAATTATCCTGAGCAAAGTTTTCTCTGACATCTGTATTACATGTTATCTATACAATCTCAGGGACCCTAGACTTATGCTACCCTCCCTCCCAGAGATATTGTGAATGAAAACAAATGAACTGAATTTCACAGGTACTCTGATATAATTAAAAGCCTTATAATAATAATCACTGTATTATATATATAATTAATGTGCATATAGTTATACAGATAATGCAATTAATTACAATAAAATATATTTAGGTTAAGAGTTGGGTATTAAGTTAAAAAAAGTCCAACCTACAATTACCATGTGAAATAATTCTTCCTTTTACATTTGATTCAGTCATTGGCCAAGGTGATCAATTCAGGGAGTATAAAGTATGATCACATAATTCAAGGCCATGCCTAACATAAATAAATGTTGGGGCTACCTGGGGAGGAATCTGATCCGGTTCTTTCTGCTTTCACCAGCAGTAGGTTGAGGATGAATGAAAGTTCCTTCACCTGCCTCTAATGATGCAGTAGGAGAATGGAGACATAAACAGCTAGTAATATGGTGGGAAAATGAAGAGATCTAACTATCACCAAGTCTTTCAGATGGCCATACAGATGCTGCAGAACCTATTCAGTCTTTCGCACATTTCAAGAGCTGCAGCTGCTCTTCCTGCTTCAGCCCCAGGGTGCAGCCATTTACAACGTATGTGCTAAAAGTTTACTGCTTAGCTAAGGCAGGACAAAATTTAACAGGTTAAAGAAAAATCACAAAAACAACCCCAAAACCCTAAAGCCTGGGGTTTGCCTTCTTATTTTCCAAATAATAAAAATAAAAAATAAAAAAGAGGTGGGAGGGAGGTTACACAGACTTTCCGCAATAGAAAGTGTTATGTGCTTAAATGTAAAATTACTGCCACCTCATTCACATTTCCTCCTCATCGAGTCACTAGCTTTATTCTGCAAAGCTTCTGCCATCATCTAGTTAGGGAGAGAAGTGATCTAGCATAGAACACCCTCAGCTAGCTAAGACCTGCAAAGACCCTAACAAACTGTCATCAAAATGCGTTCAAAAATGAAGAGAGGTAACTTTTAATGAAGGATGTATTTTAATCAAGAAGGGGAAGCACATATTTTATATGTACAGTCTAGAATTGAAAATAACATCATTGAGCCATAATTATACAGAAATAGATACTTAAAATTCAAATTATTCTAAGCAATTTGACAGATGATATCATGTGGAATTTGACTTAGGATGATGTCCACCCTCTTAACAAATTCTCGTTCAAAAAGCAAAAGAAATCCTTGAATTCTTAGCTCACCTTGAATATTAGGGTGTTACTTGCAAGAGAATCAAGATAAAAAGTGGTATAATATGATTAAACAGGGTTTAGGTAATAAAAGGCCAATGAGTGTGTATTGACAACAGGCTACGGATAACCATATTGAAAGACATGTTAAGAGTGAATAGCCCACCACAGAAACCTGATGACAAAGCAAAGAACACGTACTTGCAAAGAAATGTATTTTGATTGCAGGCACCAAAAGTTTTCTTTTTAACCAAAAACATCTTATAAATGGACTAAAAAGCCTCAAACTATAAATTACTGTCATGGAAAAGAACTAGGCAATAAATATTTTAACGTTCCTCATTTGGGCACCAGTGTTTCCATGCAGAGCCTACCAGACCAACAATCTTAACCCACCAGTAAGATTTCTGCTCTGCCAGAATTAGGGAGGAACAGCTTTTACAAATTCAGCTGCTAATATCAAGAAAACGTTGTACAGTAAACACACTGACCTTTTGCAAACCTACAAAAAGAAAGCAGCATATTATCAGCCTGTTGGCACATAGCATAATGTATCGTCAGCACATCTACACAGTTTATACCAGCAATATGGAAATCACATAGCTTTGTTGTGAGACTATACATATCCAACCTTTCTGCAATGACACACTGCACAATGACCTATAATTTTCAGTTTATAGCTGCAATTGATTTTTTTTGTTTGTTTTTGAGAAGCAAGGATTAACATACTGACTTAAAGATACAGGTTGGAAAGAGATTGGTCCAAATTCAGTTTGAACTTCACAATCAGATTAAGTGAGAGAAACTCATAAGACAAGCAGGGGCAGCCTAAAGAATTTTAATTGTTGTTTTGCTTAGAAAGGTTCTAATTTTTATTTTCAAGTGGCATACTACATTTTAAAATTAATAGTGTTGGGTTTTTTAAGATGAAAAAGAAAACTAAACCAGAAGAACATACAATCAAAAAAAATGAAACAAAATGTTTGTGTTTGGGCTACAATAATTGTGAAATGGAAACTTCTTTCATTTAGCTTTATTTCCACTGAAAAATAATAATGAACAAATTTCCTTATGTTTCAATCAAACCAATTTTTTTTTCTGGCTCTTTGGATTGTATTTATGTACACGTGCACCTAAACATAAGTAGCATTTCTCTTCTAAAATGGGGAGGTGTGAACACATGTAAGATGGCTGCAGTAACGCAAGTCAATGCTATGGAGGAATTTGTAAGTTTATTCAGCTACTGGATGCCGTAGAGTCATGCTAACACAGCACTCTGCCTGGGCTAAGTATTACAAGTAGTTAGTTGCTTGTAATACATATACCATGGATATAGCTGTGCTGCTTTGGTACATGAGCTAGCCAGCTCAGACAGCCTGGAACCTCTGCGCTAGACTGTCCTATCACGTAGGTATGAACTTCACGACAAAACCTGCTACAGGACAAACCCCCAGCAGCAACAGGAATGGCTCCTGGAGGACTGGTAAATTTAAGAGAGGCTGGCAACTTCCTCACTTGAAGATTTGTACACATCTATATGGATGATGAACTGCATCACACCAGTCACTAATTCCCATGAATGCCACCTGCCCAGTCTCACGGTACCTCTCAATACTCATGTCCTGCCAACAGTTACGCATAGGGCTACAATCACTCCTCAACTTCCAGACCCATGAATGTGTCAACTGAGATATCAATCTTTATTCAGCTGTCTTGTAGCGTGGTTGCAGAACTGCGTGCTGTGGGAAAAAGACATGGAAAACTTTCAATAATAATTCCACAGTGCTGCCACCACATTGAAAAATAGCGAGCATGATGCAAGTATATGACTGATACATTGGCATACTCGGGGCTCAAACAGAGATTGCAGAATTACTTTAGACTCGCACCATAATCCGCATCCAGCTGTCAAAGTAATCCATTTCAGCAGCCAGTCACTTGAATTACTACGCTGTTCTTCCCTAACTGCATAACAACTTCTTAATAAATAAATGTTATTACTCTCTCTCTCATGGTTAGAATGTTTCACACACCAAAAGACAACTTTGTCTTAAGAATACAATTCTCAGTGAAGATTCGAGATGAAGATTTTTAAAAGCAACCAGTTTCTGGAAGCTGTCTACAGAAAGTCAATGCTCAGTCTTTTCCGAATGCTCTGTGAGAAGTCTCAACTAGCAGAGACCTACCTTACCCATCCAAAAATCCTGGCCTGATTCTTT